TTTTTTTTAGCCAATGAGAAGACAGATGGTGACTACAATGTATAATGATTTTAACTATTAACAACATCCAATTAAAATTCTGAGGAGCTCCGCTTTTAGACCTGGCTAAATCTATATATTATAGGCTATATGGGTATGTGCGGCCCGAAATGGTAGGGGTTTTGAGCCGTTTTGGTCATAAATAGGGTATGGTTTTAGCACTCTGGTCTTGCATTGGGTATGTTTCTTGGAAGAAGCTACTTTTTTATCATTATCAATAAGACCATTAACTAAAGCTCTTCATAACTTATGTTTTAGGGCAACTGTGCCAGCCACAACGTTAATAAATAGGGCATCGATTTTTTACCCAGGCCATAAATAGAAAAGGTGAAGCCTTGGAACCGACTGGCTTATAGTTGCCGTAGCCCTTTCCTTTTTTTTTTTTAGCATGAAGCGGCTAGGAGTGTTTCTACTCCCCCTGGACGGGATGCTAGTCCATCGCAGGTCATTCCCCCGCAATTTGTTAGCTTTCCCCAACAATTCGCCGGTACTCATTTATACTGCTGGGTGGAGAGAGGCACTGTAAAAGCTAAGTGTCTTGCCAAAGAACACGACACAGTGTCCCCGGCCAGGGCTCGAACCCGGATCGCTCGATCCGGGGATGCACGCACTAACCACGAGGCCACCGCGCCTCCACCAGGTCATAAATAGGGTACAGCAAAAATCGCAGATTTTGGTCATAAATAGGGCAAGAGTTTTGGGAAGTGGGCCGCACATCCCCACCCAACTTTTCTGGGAGTATCTCCCCTCCCGGGTCATAAACTATCCGCCAAAAAGTTATGCTTTGCTTTTGTCAAGTTATTCAATGATGTCTTCTCCATTCTGTTTACCTTAAATGAGACGCTTCCATTTGTCAGCAAGTATTGTCCATTTGGTAACGTCTCGTCAGCTTTCTTTTGAGCATCACTACATGAAAACGCATCTGAAAGATAATGAAAAAGACAAAGAATTTGACGATGTTATAAAATACATGTTGTTTTGAAATAATTATAGTTTTCACAAGCAGTGCTTAAATTTTAGCAAAAAGAATCGAAAGTGACATACATCAGACAAAAAATAGACAAGTATATGTTTGATGGGGAGTTGGGCAAATTACCAAACATATTCCCGTCTAAGAAAAATAAAGCGCCATAAAAAAAAAATGCAACCAGCCACAAGAAAGAGACATAGCGTCTTAGGAAGCCGAGAACATTCTGATCTGTTCTGAAGCTTTTTCACTCCATTTCGGAATATAACATTCACTTAGCTATAACGTCTCATTTCAATTTAACAAATAGATTCCTTGTTGCCGTGCATCTGTTTAGTAATAGATCATAGATGACGTCAAAATGTGGAAAGAACAAGTAGATGGCTCACGAGGCGTTAGCCGAGTGCGTCATTCATGTTATCTATGAGTCATCTATGCGTCTATGCGTCTGTCCTCTAATAGATCATTGGTGAAAACCAATCAAAATGCGAGAATAGTTCGGTTTATTATGTAAAATCGTATGAAGAATTCGCAACGTTATCAACAATTAGTGCTTGTCTACAGCTTTCTATAGCTGTATGGCTAGACAGTCTGGTCTACAAGACGTTGTTTTTTCGTAAAAAAACCTGAACTGAACACTCTTCGTGTTGAAATCTTTGTTGTGGCATTTGTCTATTTCTTGCAATTAGCAAACGCAGGGCAAGTTTTTAATATGTTGATCAATTAGTGTTTATATTAATTCACGCTTGAAACTGTTTACAACTCGCCTGTACCAATATAAATAAAACTTACCATTACCTTTAATTATTTCTGACTTGATAATGATGTCAAGATGACATCGAAATTTCGTTTTATTAAATTTCTGGCGTTAATATTCGTTGAGAAATGTATTACTTAGTTTTCACTTATTAAAATAAAACAGAGCAGATATGTTAATGATTAATTTGGTTTTTGTGGCAAAAGTTGAATGTGGTTTACCTTTTCCCGCTCACAGAAGCTGCCCATACATTTGTTCTTTTATATTTTACGCAACTATTAGACACTTAACGCTTGTTGAGTAATGCCACCTTAACAATCGTTCTACCTCATAACGAAGCGCGCGAAGTCTAAGAATAGAATGCAAATTATTGGAACCCCGCGGGAGTTAGACAACATTAGCGTGTTCTGAGAGTAACAGGAGGAAAATGAACGCCAAATTTTCGTTATAAAAATTGTTTTAGGAACACTTGCTTACGCGCTTGAAAAAGCGTCAAATCTTCCACCATTCCGTTTTGTTTGTCTCAGTTTGTCTGAGTTATGACGTCACTCGCGCGCTTCGCTATCAATCGACACTATCGATCTGCTTTCGAAAAGCAAACGGCATCTTATTTTAGAGAGACTAACTAGATGTGAAAATCGTTTGACAGGGTGTGATGTACAAATATAAATTTATTTAACAATACAACACTGCAGTTCTTGAAACTTTTCTTACCAAGTTTTGCACAATTTTCCCCAATCCAAGGCAGTTTACACGAACATGAAAATGTTTGTTTCTTGTCGTCTGCTATACAAGAACCACCGTTGAAGCAACCAGGAGATGTAGGACTTTGACAACCCTGTAAAGTGTTTGAATTACAATAAAGACAGTTCAGAGCTCAGGATGGTTGAAGAGATTTGCTAAAACAAATTTTAGTCAGCTAGCAAGTGTGAGGGCAGAAGCTAGATGACTGACACTTCAGGCTAGCACGATATTGGTTATATGAACCTTATTTACTTTGTTCTTTGATAGGTTTCTTTTCCTATACACCTGTTTATCGGGAGCGTCAGTTTTTGTAAACACAACTGTTTTAAGAAAGGTTTATTTCGACGAATAGAATGTGCCGGACAGTATTCCTTTGACCCTATTTTGGGATAAAAAAGACTGAATTTGAGCCATTCCTTGATGACAGTTCCAGCCTTAGAAAATATTAGTGTATTCGTTCCCATATTACAGTGATCAAAGATGTATATCTTCACTTGTTCTGGGGCCAACAGGCACGTTTAATCGAACGGCAAATCCAGGTCCTAAATATTTTTGTGAACGATTAGAACTAATGGCTAATTGCTAATAACCTTTAAAAGCAAAGAAAAAGTCACTCCTTGCTGATCATGAAACTTGGTGTTTTCTTCAATGGCCCCATGCTTGTTCAGTTCGCAAGTAGCTTTCTCGGTTTCCTCGGATGCTATCTTGAAATTGGTTGAAGTACACCACGAATTTCTCAGGCAAGACCGGCTGCATGAGGTCAGGCTGGGACACTCAAACCTTTTGACAACATGTCCCTGAAGTCGCTTATCTTGCCGCATCGTGAAGAATACTGAACGAGAAAGTTTGGAATCTTCTTCAGCAGCGTAAACAATGGCATTCACCATTCCTTGAAACAGAACAAAGAACAAAACGGTTTTAGCGTCCATTACCTTAAAACAGAATTCAAAGCGGAAAGGAAAGGTGGACTATTCAGACTTTGAAAGTTTATTGCAAGGAGTGGTTTTGCTTTGCTGTTTTATTTATGTAGTGAAATACAAAGTAGCAACGATTGGCTTATTCTCCTAAATATACTACTTAAAGATGTTTGATTAGTTGTCCCGCTGTGAGATATCGGCCTGCATAAATTGCAAGGTTTGGGGAAACCGTTGAGAGTTCGTATAAACTGCGTGGGTCACTCGCTCGAAGATATCCAGGTGGCAGTGGTAAAGACAGATTTGCCTCAGAGAGACTTGACGCAACGGGAGGAGATGCAAGACATCTTTAGATACCACACACTTATTCCTTTCGGAATCAACGGTGACGTTGGTTATGTTATCTTATGGCGCACGCATCCTCGCACACCAAGTTAGTTTGCATTCGAAAGCAAATAATAAGCTGAATCTGGAGTAACAGTGAAACGTAAGACAATTGATGATAGTTTAGCTGTCAGCGGATATTTCCACTGCACTCAGCCTGTTGAAAAGTGTCTGGTTACTTGTACTTTATCCAATTCTTTATCTCATCGAACCGAATCTCAGCAACTCCAAAACGTCGGACTTAGCACCAACGCATCGAAGAGCGCAAGTCGTCTGCCATTTAGAAACCTTTTAAAACAGAAGTATATCGCCGAGATCTACCGAGCTTGCAAGTAAATTTTCAATCCCAAAGAGATACAAAGAAAAGCTATATTGTCTAATCTATGAGACGCTGTTTATGAATAATTAACTGGTCACCCAATAAAACTATATTCGTGTGAAAGTTTTTTTTTTTCCTTTTTTCTTTTTTTTTGTAAGAAGCATTCGTAAGGCCTAATGTTTATTCCAGTCTATTACCATTTAACTCACGCATGAAGAAATTCATGCAGTAGCAATTCTTGTTAGATTTAAAGCACGGAGTGTCTTAGCATGCAGTAAACGATATTAGAGCAGACAGCATTGAAACTGAGTTACCGTAATGATCCGCTTTAGCGCCCGGGGCGCTTACATACTTTTGGTGCCACAAGGGAGGGCAATGGCCCTTATTTCTTTTTTGAGAAACAGCTGAATGGTCAAAACAAAACTTGACTGAGAAGAGGACATTCGTTTGAAGGAATTATACACTCACATGGACATAATAGTTGAGAAACTCAGACGAAAATTAAACCACTATTTTTGCAATGCGGTATTATGTATGTGAGCAATGAAGGAAAACGAACCTCCGTTAATACAGACTCTGGCGGCGCTGTAATATTTTAATGTAAGAATAGGGGCCGAGATTATTAGTTTTTAATAACGTTGGGAATTCTATCATGCAAAAGAATGTAATATAAAACCACAAGGTCTTCTTAGGGATGGAAATTATATTTTTAACTGAGAGAGGCAAGTAACTTTTAAGACCTTATTATATATTTTTTTGGCATGATTTTTTTTTTTTTTTTTTTTTTTGTTTTCTTTTTTTTGGTCTGTATAAGTATGATTCGGTTAAGTTTTGCATGTCAGTTGATTAGCAAAGGTTCGTGTGAAGGGGAGGAGCTGAACTCGGAGTAGCGCTTGTTTTCCTTGGACCAGACACTGGGTTTTGTTTAATATTTACATCTACATTAGAGGAAGATCTTTTTCTCCCGACATTAGATGAAGCACAGGACAAACCAATACAAATTGTATCAAGTAAAACCGAGTTTTAAATTTTGAAATATATTGTTAAGAATAAGACTGAACGCTGTTAGAGAGAAATTTCAAAACGAGGAGCTAAGCAATTAAATTGTTATTGTGCGGCTAAAACAAAAGTTGAATTGCTCCAGAGTATTTTGAAACCTTGTCTTTTCTTAGGTCAGGTAATTTATATATTGGATTGTTTTTTCTTCGTTTTCTCGTTCAATGTTAGCAACACTAACTTAATTGTCACAAGATTTAACAAAGAATATGGAGCCGATCAATTAAATTGTTATACTGTGTGTCTAAATTAGGAGATGAATTTGCTCCAAAAAAGTTTTAGACTTTGATAAGCTCATGTATTTCAGTTGTCGGATTGACTTTGATTCGTTTTTCTCGTTTAGTTTTGACGCCTTTGTCTAATCACAAGATTGAATGAAAAAC